AAAACTGAGCACATGTGGTATCACGTGGTGTACGTGACAAAGGATTCGCTCCATGGCTTCAACAAGTCCAATTATCTGGAGCACAGCAGCTCCCAGACATCCTTTCCACAGGCAAAACAGAAATCATGGAATGGTTTGGGTTGGAAGGGACCTTAAAGCTCATCTTGTTCCAACTCCTGCCATGTTTGAAATACAAATGCAATATTTAACATGAAGTATGGAATGAATATCCAGAAGTGTTGCTGAATCTCCCCAGATCCCAGTACAGATTGTGGGAGCAGGAGCTCATCCAGGCTGAGATCCAGACTCTTCCACAGTGGATGGCTTTGGCATTCTGCAGTTCATTTGAGCCAAACACGTTACTGTAAAACAAAAAAACAAAAAAAAACCAACCCAAAAAAACCAAAAGGCACTTCCAGGATTTCTCCCTGTCACACGTAGGTTTGCATTCAGCAGTGCCTTTGTGCATCTCCTTTTTACTGTCATTCCCCATGTTCCATAGAATGCCAGACTGGTTTGGGTTGGAAGGACCTTAAAGCTCACCCAGTTCCACCCCCTGCCATGGGCAGGGACACCTCCCACTAGCTCGGGTTGCTCCAAGCCCTGTCCAACCTGACCTTGAACACTCCCAGCAATGAGGTGAAATCTCTGTCCTAAACAGTTAACTGCCACTTAAGATTCCACTCTGGAAGAAACCAACACCAGGATTTCTGCTTCCTTTACTTCCAGGATCTTTTTAGAGGACCTTGCCACAACTTTAAGGCAAACTCCAGTCACAGTTCCTGCCAAGAGGCACCCAACACTGTCAAACATCCTCAATCCAGGCGCTCTCCGAGTGGGAAGCGGCACCGTGTGAGGAGCTGTGCTGGAGAGGGGCAGCTGCCAGGAGAATCACCTTCTGTCTCCACTCGAATTGCAGTTCCCAGTTAAGAACTTGCATGGTCATATTGCCAAAAGGCACAACTGAGCAGAAACCCCAGTCCCAGTCCTGTTGCTCTCACTATTCTTCACCAAGTGGATGTGAAAAATTCCCCACATTCAGCAAGGCGATCCCTGCAGAGCTCCATTGTCTCTGGTTATTAATTAAACATGCTCTCAGAGAAAGCAAATGCCTCAAATCATTTGCTTCTACTAAGCAACTCCCACACTACCCAAACTGCAATACAGACAGTCTAAGTATAGCCATTCCCTGTAATTCCAGAGGGACCACCACCACCACAGGAACTCTCCCTTCACTCGGGTTCCAGCGCACACACGCACGCACAAGCCACAGGAGAGCCCATCCAAGGAAATCCAGCCAGTTTTCCTCAAAACCTGCTCAGTGTTGATAGCTTGTCCCAGCTGAATACCCCAACTGTCTTTTCACTCCCCCCAGGAGCAGTACATGACTGTTTAGGTTTGTCAGATCTGTGCAACCTTTCATAACCAACACAAACACAAGCTAGGCCGTTACTCATCTGGAGCCATCCTGGACCTCAGCCTATGTGATGTTCCAATCTCATCCCGTGTTTTTTTGCAGGATAAACAGGATACAAACACACCAGTGCAGCTGGGGGAACTGTGTGCCCAACAGCAATCAGGCATCATTGGTGAGCAACAGCCTAAACCTCTTTGAGTATTAAAGTTACTGGTGGACACCAACACAACCTCATCTGCTGCTTCTTGGGGATAAAAGAGACTATGTTGTGCAGACAAGACCTGGTTGGTGGAAGTGTCTTCCACATCAAATTTGGTGATTGAGGATTTGGAGTTGTAGACAGCCAGGATTTTGCTGAGGAGCTCTGAGAGAAGAAGCCAGGAAAAGAAGTCTGACTCCAGCATGACCTCAGTGTCTGCAGAACAAAGAGAACTTCCAAGCACGTGTTGGCTCTGTGGATGGTGACCCTTTGATACACAGACATGCAAAATGACAGCAGCATCTTTCACTGCTTCATTTTATATAAAAACCTGGCCACACACACACCCCTTCTGGAGGAGAAGGGAAAAATGCAACAGGAGAAGCAAGTCCCTAAGTAAAATACAACCAGACCCAGCATTTTCCTGCTGCTCACAACAACAAGACACCATCTACCTCCTTGGGAGCACAGAAATTTTTCCTTATGCTATCCCTACTCACAGCTCAGTTCTCAGAGCCGCTAGTCACAGTGTGAGAGGTGACCAGGAGGCACAGGCAGCACAGTAAGAGCCATGAAAACCAAAGACACTATGGGTAAGTCTTGACTCAGAGCACTCAGGGTTGGCTCAGAACACAGCACAAAATGCTGTCATTTGGTAAAGTCACTGGAGTATGATCAGCAGACAGAGAGAGATGTCTGTCTGCACAGGCAACAAAAAAGAAACAGGGATTCAACAATGAAAACCAAATCCCTCTACCTTTAATTACGACCTCTCAAGCTCTAGGCAGACATTAACCTATATTAGCCTGTAATTATATTTTCTGACTTTCCATTATCTTTTAGCTACTGAGTTTCCTAACCTGACTTCAAGGCTGGGCCCTCACTGCAGCATCTTTGAAAGTCTAAAATCAAAAGTGCACTCATCTAAGTGTTTCCAGAAGAAACTGAGACTCAGCAGACACCCATGATTCCCTACTTCCCTACATGTCCCAGCACTTCCTTCTACTTCTACTCTTGCAGGACCAATTCAATTCTATCCCAGCTAAGCCCAAGCTGAATGAAATCATTTGGCATGCCTAAGATTAGTCCTTGCTCCAAGGAATTTATAATTTAAGCAGCAGATGGAGAGGTGGCCAAAAAGCCAAAGAGAATGGCAGTGTAAGGATTACACATATCCTGCATTCTGCTTCCCACAAGGCAGAGAGAAGCATGGAAAAAGAGGCACTTGAGAAGGGATGAAGCAATAAACACAGATAAAGCTGCTCACCAATCACTGGAGCACATGGTATCAAATGAGACAGATGAGAACAGGGTTAGTGCCACATCTCAGAGCTAACTTTGCAGAAATTAAACACCAAGATTGGTTTGGACATGAATACTGAATGCAAAACATCAGGACTGCGTGAGAAAGACATTACAGCCCATGTAAAAACCACCAGGAAACAGAACAGATAAAATCCCTGTGTTAATTCTATTATGGTGTGTGTGTGTGTGTCCTGAGCTTCGGGTCACAGAACACATGGGGGAACAGAGAAAGCATCACACAACCTTGTGAGCTTCATCCTGAGGTGGGTTCCCTCCACACAACCTTCTCACAAGACTTCTGCCTCCAAAAACACATGAACTGTATTTAAAAGGCCATTTAAACTAGTATAAACTAATGCTGTTTTCCTTCATTAAGTGATATATTCATTAGTATCATTTCATTCAACAAGTTACTGAGGAAAATCAAGCTGAGGAAAATCAAGCTGAGGAAAAGCAACACTTGTACTGCCATCAGGGTAAGTCTCTAACAGGCAGAATTCTTCTGTTTGAGTGCAAGTTGAAGCCTTTTCATTATTAAGTACATTAAAGCTCAAATACCAGCAGAGCTTTTAACGACTACAAGCTCTGAGTGCCTTGTCCCCACCCCCTTTATCTCCTGCGACTTTTGTTGTCTTTGCTTTTAAGGCTTTTCAGGGAAAGGAAGATGAAAGTGTGAGCTGGAGGAAAAAAGAGGACTGAGAATTTCTGACATCATTGTCATTCCTGAAGTCATCTTGCCACAAAATGGCCAAACAATAGCAGTCCCTGCCCAGGCATCTCCACCCCACAGCTTTGATTTGAAAACTGCAAGTTGCAGCCTCGAAGGAAGAAATTGTTGCTTATTTTTTCTTACACAACTTAGAACACATTAAGAGCACTGATGTCTCTCGAAACAAGTTTTACACTCAGCGACTGAAAACTTGGATAATGAACAGAAAAATCACATCTGTTTCAATGCAGTTATTTCCTTTAGAGTGATACCCAAATACTATGCTCCACATAAGGGAATAAACCCAGTATTTTTCTAGCTGCTTAGTCCATCTTGCAGCATTTAATGTGATTTTTCTCCCAGAACACATTAACAGGGCACTTGGGTCTATTTCTTTGTTGATGTACACACTGCCTTCAGTGAGGTTGCAAAATTCCCTGCAATGTTTGCTTTTAAATGGTCTGGTTGGCAACACATCCCCTGGGGAGGCACAGCAGAGGAACGAGGGCTTGGCTGCTTTGATTTGAAAAACTAGAGGCAAGAGATGTTCATAAAGGTTGCAAAAGCTTTGTGGCTGCTGCTCTGGCAATATTTGTGGGGATCCTTCTGGTTTAAATTGTGCTTACACTTGGGCTGTGCTGCCTGGAAGAGGAAGCTCATGTCTGTCTTTGATGAGTGAGCTGCAGGTCACAGACAAGCTGGAGTGAGTCATGCACTCGTTTAACTCCAGCACAACTGACAATGCAACAACTGAAAAGACTTCTAGTAAACACTACTACTGACACAGCTTGGCCCACTACCCTTTTAGAGGCCTTAAGTGGCTCTAAGGAGTTCTCTGTGGTTTGTGACCTTCTTCATGCTGTTCTTTCCTCCCTTCAGCTAAGCACATCAACAGCACTTCCCCCTCCCAATTCTACCCAGCAAAACCCAAACCCAAAAGCTAGGAAACTCAGGCAAACACATTACCAGCAACTGTTTTCCAATATTGGGGATGGTAAAAGCCCAACCTACATGCATTGGCAGTTTTGTAATACCATTACATAAGAATTATTTAACTACAGCAACAGATTTGAAAAGCAGCAGCAGCAGCCACGCTGGTTCACACATCAGAAAAAACAATCAATAAACAGAACGATTTGTTAACATGCATTTGACTGTCCCAGAGAGCAGCTTGGGACTTCAACCCCCTCCAGAGCAAGAAACATTTCAGCTCAGAGCTACCAGAAGCACCACAATCCTGCAAAAGAGAGAAAACAAGAAGCCCCCAACGTTGCCATTCCAACCACACAAGAACCAGGCGAAAGCTTTAAACAAGTCTCACGAAAAGCATCTAGGGTGTGGAGTTTGGAAACATTGAACTTAGTGTTTACCTGATGTTCTGCATGAATGTTATCCCCAGTAGGCCAACGATGTTTGCTGTTATTATAGCCGCCGCCACCGCTTCCTCCTCCCCCAAGCTGCTCACCATGCTGCCTCTGGAAGAAGTAATCCACCATAGCGTCGTCCTGGGAGCGACCTGCAACTCCTATGGATCCGGGAACAGGACTGGAGTGTGTCCCTGCTGCAAGTGCCTGGTTTGCAGCTGGCTGTGCCTGAGCCTGGGACCCTGTTCCAGATGTCAGTACAACAGGCATGTTGGGATTAGCTGTATCTTGGTTGTGCTGCTTCAGGTGGGGGCTGAAGGAGTCCTGCCAGAGTACTGCTTTTCTCTTCAACACGCACGCTACGCTCATTCCACCAGCACCTGTGGCAGGGAGGCATGGAGGGGAGAGAGAAGGAAAAGGACACATGAAATCTTCACTGCTCCCACTTTCCATAGTCACTAACACACCCGAAATCCTCACTGCTCCCACTTTCCATAGTCACTAACACACCCGAAATCCTCACTGCTCCCACTTTCCATGTGCACTAACACACCCGAAATAAAATCCTCACCCCCTTTCCGTGTTCAGTAACACACGAAATCCTCACTGCTCCCACTTTCCA